CACCTACAGGTCCGACGACAAAAGTCGATGATACCATCGAAAAACAGTGGACAAATTGGATGGCTAAAGGCCTAACAGAAGAAGCTCGGAAAGAACTACTCAAAAAATATTCTCGAGTAGATAAATTTTGAACAGAAGCACCAAAGGTTAATTTAGAGATAATTACCCACTTGTCAGAAATTTCAAAAAAGAGAGATCAACATTTTGCTGATACCCAAAACTGTGTAGGTACAGCTCTTATTTCTCTTGGTTCAGCAATATCAATGCTGATGGAAAATCCTGAGGATGGTGTAGATCAGATCCAACTCATGAAATACATCTGGGATGCAGGAAAAATTATGGCAGACGTTTTTCATCAACATTCAACTGCACGAAAATCATTTATCACTCCCAATCTCGATAAAGATATCAAGTCGACGTTAGAAGCGACAGTTTCCGACGAATGGCTTTATGGTCAAAAGCTAACTGATCAGGTGAAGGACGCTAAAAATATTAAAAAAGCGTCTACATCACTTAAAGCCCCAGAAAAATCAACAACTAAGAAGACAACTAGTCAGGTAAATTGGAGAGGCTCACCTGGGAAAGCCAGACAGGTGGGCTATTACCCGAAACGGCAGTTCACGAACGTGAAATACAAACCGAGACCTTTTCAGACAAGGCCATCTCAGAGTTCAAGTCGCTCGACGACGCAAACGTCGAGTCGATCGACGTCGAAGAAGTAAAAAAAGTAAGTTTCATCGCAGGTAGGCTACGACATTTTGTAGAAGAATGGAAAACGATCACAAGTGATAAGTTTATTCTTAATTGCTTGAGAGGGTATAATTTAACCTTCAAGTCCAAACCAGTTCAATTTCGAGAACCAAGTACACCAAACTGGTCCTTAGACGAATTTGAAAAAATTAACCAAGAAATTTCCAATCTTTTATCCAAAAAAGCAATAGAAAAATGTGTAGCTTGTGAGGGCCAATTTGTATCATCCTACTTCCTAGTTGCGAAGCCAGACAAATCTAATAGATTTATAATAAATTTAAGCAGGTTAAATGAGTTTATCGAAACGACACATTTTAAAATGGAAGACCTCAGGGCAGTAAAAAATTTAATATCTCAGGGTTCATACATGGCGACTTTAGATTTAAAAGACGCGTATTTTCTAGTACCAGTCAATGAACGTGATAGAAAATACTTAAGATTTAGATTTAATAATATCTTATATCAGTTTACTTGTCTTCCTTTTGGCTTATCGACTAGTCCGTACATTTTTACAAAAATAATGAAACCGGTAGTAAATGTTTTACGCTTAAGAGGTTGGTTATCGGTGATATACTTAGACGATCTTTTATGTATTTGCAATTCATATGAATCTTGCAGCAGTAATGTAAAAAATATTATCAAATTGTTGGAAAAATTAGGGTTTGTTATAAACTACAAAAAAAGTTGTACAAGACCGAGTACAAGATGTAAGTATCTTGGATTTATTGTTGATTCAGAAAAATATTCTGTAGACCTACCAGACAACAAGAAAAATCAAATACTACAGTTTTTGAACCACTTTGAAGTAGGGAAAAAATATAAAATCCGGTTTTTTGTGCAGTTAATAGGAATCCTCGTTGCGGCATCCCCAGCGGTAGAGTACAGTAAAATATATATCGTAAGATTAGAGAGGGCAAAATGGTTAGCGTTAACTATCAATGATAATAATTTTGAAGCTTATATTAAAATCACTAACTCCATAATGGAAGATCTTATTTGGTGGAAAATAAATTTGTTAACTGGTTCTAACCCAATACGGACACAAAATTATAAAATCACAATTTCATCTGATGCATCCAGATCAGGTTGGGGTGCGGAATCTAATTTAGAAGTCACTCATGGGTTTTGGAGTCAGAAAGATAAAAAGTTTCACATCAATTACTTAGAACTCCTGGCTGCCTTTTTTGCTTTAAAATGTTTTGCTTCAAATCTCAGCAATTGCGAAATTCTGATGCGTATAGATAACACCACAGCCATTTCATATATTGATAAAGCAGGTGGAATAAAATTTCCCCACTTGAGTGCGTTAGCACGAGAGATCTGGCAGTGGTGTGAAGGAAAAAATATTTGGATAAAAGCATCATATATCGCCTCAAAAGAAAATATCCACGCAGATGCAGCCTCTCGTGTTACTAACTTAGATACCGAATGGGAACTTAAGGCAAAGTATTTCAAACAAATAGTCGAAAAATTTGGCCCTTGCACAATTGACCTATTCGCATCTAGAATTAACACCAAGTGTAAAAAATTTTGCTCACGTTACCCTGATCCAGAAGCATTAGTAGTAGACTCTTTTACAATTTCATGGGAGAAAAAACAATTTTATGCATTTCCTCCTTTTGCAATGGTATTACCAGTACTTAGAAAAATAATCAATGATAGAGCAACTGGAGTAGTGGTTGTCCCTAATTGGCCCACTCAAGCATGGTACCCGTTTTTTACCTCACTTCTCTGCGAGGATCCCTTAGTACTAGAACCATCAGCTGACTTATTAATTTCTCCTTGCAGGAAGAAGATCCATCCTTTATCACACAAGCTTTCTCTAGTGGTAGGGAAACTATCAGGGAAGCGTTTCTAATAAAGGGAGTACCAGAGGATTCCGTCGACTTTATGGTAAATTCAATCACACCATCAACACTCAAACAATACGAAGGCTGTCTCAAAAGATGGACACAATTTGCCACAGAGAAAAAATTCAATGTATTTGACCCCAGCACTGCCAATATAATCGAATTCCTGACGAATAGATTTAATGAAAACGTGGGCTATGGAACCTTAAACTCGACGAGATCAGCGATCTCACTCATCGTAAAAAGAGACTTATCCAAAGATGACCTTATATCAAGATTTTTTAAAGGAGTTTTTAAGAAACGGCCTCCTACTCCAAAATATTCCACAACATGGAATACAGAACAAGTATTAGAGTACATAGAAAACCAAGATACAATAAAAAATCAAACACTAAAACAAGTATCTGAAATCGCAGCAACACTGCTAGTCCTCATTACTGCTCACAGACTCCAGACTATATCTCTTATCGACATAGATAATATTAGTCGAGGTTCATCAGGCCTTCAGATCACCAGAAATGATCAAGACATCTAAGTTAGGAAAGAACCAGCCAATATTAATAGTACCTTTTTTCAAGCAACGACAAAAAGTTTGCGTAGCTTCTATAATACTGCACTACTTGAAAATAACACGGTCTATTCGAGCAGAAAATAAAAAACTGTTTTTATCAACAGTAAAACCACACAATCCAGTAATTGCTCAAACAATCGGACACTGGATTAAATCGTTATTAAATAAAGCTGGTATCGACACCGAAAAATTTAGCGCATACAGTGCTAAACATGCTTCTGTATCTGCAGCATACAGAAAAGGAGTAGACATCGACACAATCAGAAAAACAGCAGGCTGGACAGATGGATCTGCAACGTTCGCGCGTTTTTATAATAGACCTCTTACAGAATCAAGCAATAAGTTTGCTTCAGCAGTTATAACTAAAATAAATAGTAAGGAAAAAAATAATAAAAGTTAAAACCTGTTGAGGTAATTAAAGACATGGAAATAGTTATAAGTATCTTTTTTTTTTTTTTTCTTTCTTTATTTGTCTTATGTAATTGCATGAAAAATAGATACATTATCACAGACGCTAAAGATCTACATGTTATCTATCATCGAGAACGAGACGCGTTGTATAATTGATCGATCAAACGAGCCCGCGAAGCGGGCGAAGTTCGATCGAGATTATACTACGCGGCTCGTTCGAAGATGATCACTTCCCACCCATATTGGACCCACAATCCAGTAATCATCAATACGAATCTGTGATAACAAAAAAAAAAAAAAAATAACAACAAAGGAGGTAAGTAACACTCTAAAATATATGACGACCGATAGAGGCGCGCGAGAGCAACTGACCCAGGCGGGCGGTAATAAATTTGAATTCAAATCTCTAAAAGTTGTGAAGTTTAAGCATACTTGACAGTACTACATGTTATCTATCATCTTCGAACGAGCCGCGTAGTATAATCTCGATCGAACTTCGCCCGCTTCGCGGGCTCGTTTGATCGATCAATTAATATCGTAAGATTGGTTTAGATAAATTTATTTTTATTAATAAAACAAAACTGAAATTATTAAACATCGAGAAAATTCCAATCGTCTGCTCACGGAACCATCAAGCGTCGGTCGCATTTACTACGCACTAACGAATGCCCGCGTCCATTCTGACCGCGCAAATTCCTGGCAATTATATTACGCGTTAAATTATTATGAACAATTAAATTTAACATTATTTAATATTATTTATTACAACGAATTATTTATTTGAAATTATTTTAATTATTGAGAATTAACTTATTGAGATTTCGACGCCAATAAGATTGAAATACCCGTGGATAATTTTTCGTAAATTTATTTTATATTGAGATAAATTATTTATAAATTATTTAGTAAATCGGAAAATTCCACGCAGTTGTTTTTACATTGAACTTAAGTTCTGGGAATTTATTTTTATGATTTTAATTTCATCATCTTGTTAAATTCTTTATAATAAATTTAACAAACGTGGATTTATTAAGTCCAGGAAAATTAGTTATATTAAAATTAATTGATGAAATTTTGTAAGAAATATTTTTATATTAATAATTAAATTACGAGTAAAAATCGAAACAAATTGATGCGTCGAAAGTTCCGGAAATATCTGTTATGTTGAGTGTTAAGCTCGTGGTTAATTTGGAATAAATTCAAGCGTCGGTTTAGTTCGGACATTAGAAAAATTGTTAGTTTCGGAAATATTTTGTAATGTAATTGCTAGCTGATGACTGAATTAAATTTTGTTAAAAGTTAATGTAGTAAATTTTGGAAGTAAATTTTGTGATATTTTTATAAATAAAAGTAATGTAAAGTCAGAGTGTATGTGCGCGCGGGTTATGTGTGTGAAGATGCGTGGGTTATGTGTGTGTGAGTGTTAACAGCGTCCTCTCACATACGATTAGTCTCTGTGTGAGGTGCTTTGCTGGCTACTTAGAGCGTGAGGGTCCGGTGGACAGCGCGATTTAGTTAGAAACTGCAGTACAGGCACTCCCTATGAGGGTACTGTAGGATTAAGACTTTTGATAGTTCATAATAATTTTTTCTCGCATATTCTATACACTCACATTAAGATGATTCTCTCCACAATCCTTTCTCAATCCTTTCCTACCAAAAATATCCTGTTACGTGAATGTTGGAACGCTTCACGTAATAATTATCCGTACCTCCTATTCTTTCCCGCTTCACAGCATTATTTATATTTGTTAATATAAATAATGCTGTGAATTTTGATTTATAATGCTGTGAATTTGTTAATATAAATAATGCTGTGAAATAATGCTGTACATTTTTAACAAATATAAATAATGCTGTGAAGCGGGAAAGAATAGGAGTTACAGATAATTATTACGTGAAGCGTTCCAACATTCACGTAACAGGATATTTTGGTAGGAAAGGATTGAGAAAGGATTGTGGAGAGGATCATCTTAGGGGTATGACTCATACCGTATGAATGTGTAACGATCTCTACTTGTTGATGATTTGCCAAGTAGAGTAGTTAAGATTAATCTGGTTAGCCCCTCGTGAGGCTTAGATGTGAAGTCAATCTGGTTAGCCGTTAGTGAGGCTAAAATGTCTAGTCAATCTGGTTAGC